TAAAAAAGACTAAATAAGACTTATTAAAAGGATAGAGGAGGCCAACCACAAGCTGAAGTAGCAGAATCCATTGGAGTTTCACAAAGTGTGATTGCCAGGATCTGGAATTTTTTTTTTTTGCAAACTGGAAATGCAAAACGAAAATCAGGGCAAGGGCGTAGACGGGCAACAACACCCAATGAAGATCATTTTTTTTAACGTTAATGGCACGAAGACACCGAAACACCAATGCCATTCTTTTTCAAAAACACCTTCGCTCGGCTACAAGCACCACAGTTTCGACACAAACTGTCCGAAACTGCCTTCACGCAAGCTTGGTGACTGCTTGGTCTGCAAGCTTGGTGACCAATGGTGCGAGTCACGTTAACAGCAAGGCACCGTCGCGCCCGGAGGAAGTGAGCAACAGAGCATTTAAACAGGAGGAGATATAAATGGTGCAATATTCTCTTCACTGACGAGTCCCGTTTTTCCATTCATCCTGATAATAGGCGTATTCTCACCTAGAGGAAACGTGGCACTAGACACCATCCTGCGTACGTGAATGAAAGTATAAGATTTGGCGATGGGGGAGTGATGGTCTATGCTCCATCGCCATTGATGGGAGCACCTATCTCCATATTATTCGAAAACAAACTCTGACCGGACGCCGATATAGGGATAGGATCTTAAGATCTATTGTAGTCCCTTACTCTACAGCAAATGGAGATGAATTCATGTTAATGTACGACAATTCCAGGCCATATGTTGCTAACTTGGTCAATGATTTCCTTTTGGAGGAAAGAATCATACGAAGGGATTGACCATCATTTTCTCGGGGCATGAACACAATCGAACATGTTATGGACAATCTGGGCAGAAGAATTGCTGGACGCCTACAACTCTCCAAGAAATGGAACGAGCTTTTCCGGAGGAGTGGGACAGAATACCCCAGCCCCTCATTAATAACCTCATTGACTAGATGCTTCAAAGGTATTCAATGTTGCTGGCCGTCTGGGGCAACCATGCTAAAAACGATTTTCTTTTAAAGAAACACCTTTTCTAATTAGTTTTTCTCATATACACAAATTGTGTTTGTTTTCCTTTTGTACCCAAATGCTCTATAAAGCGCATTTTTTTTCTTCCGCCAAACAAATGTCATTTTCATCTTATATACCCTACTACATCTGTCGATAATGTATCAATCATTCAAATAATTCTCTAGGTGCAAGATCAACCCACAACCTTAATATTCCTTAATTGTTTTGAGCAGTGTATTTAATAAGATGAATGAAATTTGAGCCGATCTTTGGCAAAGCTCCCATCGCGAACGTGTATCAATATTGCTAACTCTAAAACCGACTTTGCACAACAACCTTTTTCCTGCTTTCTTATTAATAACATTTCTTGCTTTCTTATTAACAATTGTTAAGAGCATGTCAGCATAAGACGCACCCGTTTTAGTGGTCCTATCAAATCCAATACTCTTGCAACGCAATAGAGCTGTAACGATTGTTCTTATTTATCGGAATATCTATATTATATAAAACGCTAATACGTACGTATGTATGTATTAATAAAGCCGATGATATTTCTTTTCTCGCGCTGGCAACAGTTTTCATTTTTAATTTATTGGATTCGGCGCGCAAGAGCACGTAGTGAGCAACCAGATAACAATAACCAGAGTGAGCATTATCAGGTTGTTCAATTCAGATTCATGCACTAAAAACATGACAATATTTAATTTAAACTCAATTAGGAATTAATTAANACAGGGCCCCTGAACGTGGCGGTGCCCGTAGGCAGTTGCCTACAGTGCCTAATGGATAAAACGGCCCTGGGAGCACCTATCTCCATATCATTCGAAAATAAACTCTGACCGGACGCCGATATAGGGATAGAATCTTAAGATCTATTGTAGTCCTTTACTCTACAGCAAATGGAGACGAATTCATGTTAATGTACGACGATTCCAGGCCATATGTTGCTAACTTGGTCAATGATTTCCTTTTGTAGGAAAGAATCATACGAAGAGATTGACCATCGTTTTCTCGGGGCATGAACACAATCGAACATGTTATGGACAATCTGGGCAGAAGAATTGCTGGACGCCTACAACTCTCCAAGAAATGGAACGAGCTTTTCCGGAGGAGTGGGACAGAATACCCCAGCCCCTCATTAATAACCTCATTGACTAGATGTTTGAAAGGTATTCAACGATGCTGGCCGTCCGGGGCAACCACACTAAAAACGATTTTCTTTTAAAGAAACACCTTTTTTTAATTAGTTTTTCTCATATACACAAATTGTGTTTGTTTTCCTTTTGTACCCAAATGCTCTATAAAGCGCATTTTTTTTTCTTCCGCCAAACAAATGTCATTTTTATATTATATATCCAACTACATCTGCCGATAATGTGTCAATCATTCAAATAATTCTCCAGGTGCAAGATCAACCCACAACCTCAATATCCTTTAATTGTTTTGAGCAGTGTATTTAATAAGATGAATGAAACTTGAGCCAATCTTTGGCAAAGCTCCCAGCGCGAACGTATATCAATTTTGCTAACTCTAAAACCGACTTTGCACAACAACCTTTTTCCTGCTTTCTTATTAATAACATTTCTTGCTTTCTTATTAACAATTATTAAGAGCATGTCAGCATAAGACGCACCCTTTTTAGTGGTCCTATCAAATCCAATACTCTTGCAACGCCATAGAGCTGTAACGAATGCTCTTATTTATCGGAATGTCTATTATTAATGCTCTTATTTATGGGAATCTAGTTAGACTACAAAATTATAACCTTTTTTAATAATTCTGTGATAAATATCGTAAAAGATAGCACGAGTTATATTTCTGTCTGACGTGTTTAACTTTTAAAAGCTATTATAGTGTTGTAAAAACGAATTTGTATAATTTAATAAAGAAATAAAACGGAGGAACTATATGCAGTCGCGGTTGATTACTTAAATCTTATACTGCAATGGTCTTTTCTTAACTTGCAAGGGGGTATAGCCCAGGCAACCTTCGCTACTGATACTGAAAAATGAAATCATGCCATAGTTCAGAAGATCAAGGAGCTTGGTTTCCAATAAAATTAAACTATTTAACAATTAACTTTACAATCGAAAATGTATAATGCACCATGCTTAAATCAGCATGAAGCTATGCATTCATTCGGTTAAATAGGTACATTCATTATTTTTGAAGCTTGCTTTTTAATTTATTAACTATACTTTCTCTTATTTTAAAATTTTATTTATTCTTATTGTGAAATGTAAATCGCCTTGGCTAGCATATTTTCGAAAAACCTGTCGTTGCAGTTATTTGGGCTATGTTATTGATTGAAAATGGATTCCCGGAACAAGTGAAATATTTTGAAGATTTTTTTAATTTTATTTATTTATTTATTTATTTAACCTGTTATGCATAATTTTAAATAGAACTCTCACTCATACATTTACATAAAAAAACTAGTACAGTCAATTAATTTTGTTTTTAAAATATATATATTTTTTTAAAAAAAATTCTCAATATATAGTCAAAATTTGTAGAAAATTGTAAAAATTGTAAGTAAAGATTCTTTTTTTTCTCTACTCACAATTTTAAAATTTAAGTTTTAGCATCCACTTTCGTTTAGACGAACGAAATCATTTGCGTCAACAATTATTTATTTATCAAATTAGTTTATTATTTATGTGTGTTTTGTGAAGTTATTCGATGTGGAAAGATAAGGATTGATCATGCATACTAAAATGATATTTTTTGTTCCAATAGGCAGAGCATAAGAAATAAGTATCTAATTATGGATGCAGAGGAAGAACCAGAGGAAGAACTGTTGGGGTAAAATCCAATCGTATCGCTTAGAGATTTTAGGTAGGGAAATGTTCTTTTCCCCCTCAACATAGACAGTGGGGTATTCTGAGCTCCCGACAACCAATGTGCTACGGACAATTTATACACAGCTAGGGATCTATTTCTGATTATATTTTATTTAAGTCGTAATACTAAGCCTACTTTATCCTATTTTTCTAAATTATTACCAGTGTTAAATAAAAATTACCTAGTTAAAATTGGAAATTGTGGACTTGATTATGAATGAAAACATCTCCCTCATAAATGTATTAAAAATTAATAAACAAAATAAGCGTGAAAAATTCAATGCAGCTTCAGAATATACAATTGCTGCATAAATGATATAAAAAAGTGCAAAACGATGTAAACTTTTGTATGATAAACCAACTCAGGTTAAAAAATAATTTATAAAGTTACCGTACTGTATAGAGACGATTCTTCGAGATAAATAAATCAGTTTAACTGTTGTATACGGTTAAAAAATAAGAAACCTGATCAACGAGTAGATTTGTTTTAGCTTTTTTTTTTTTTTACCAAATTTTGCATGATCAGTCTGAAGAGTATACTAACAGTGTAATGCTTCTCAAATTTGTTTCAGCATCTACTAAAGTGCTAAATTTGATATTGTTTCTGTTAAGTGGAACTAAAATATCGCAATAAATTTTCAGAAATACAATAATATGATTCAATTAAACATCAAAAATTGCATCAAATTTTATAAACAATGAATCATCAAGCTTCAAATTTAGTTGTAGATTATTAGTAGAGTTAAGAATAATAGCTCAACCAAGACAAAAGAAAATTAAATTTTTCCCCCTTTAACTAGACAGGTTTAGATCTTACAAGTTTAGATCTTAAACAAGTTTAGATCTTGGATTAGTTTTACAAGATTTAAAATTCCAGGGAGATGCTTGTTTGAAATGCTAAGCCGATTTTTGTATTCTTAAATTGATAATAATGATTATGCAAAGTATCTTACATGAAAACCTAAACATAGTATTTTTAGAGAGTTGTAGATGTGTTACATATTTCAATTTTCTAGTATTTCCAACAAAACTTGTAAGGATTTTTAATAAGAATCAGAATCTAAGTGAGACAAAAAGGAAAAAAACGTGGCACACTCTACGCACATAATAAAAACAAAAAGAATTTATTAAAAATCTTCACAAAACTCTTTCAAATTGACATAATTTTCGTCATTTTCATCTCACTGCAGCTGTAATTAAATGAACATTGAATAGTATGAGCATGAAAATATTAAAAATGAAATAATGAAAAATTATAATTATAATAACATGTAATCATTCACATACAAAATGTTTTGTCTATAATCAAGTAACATTTTCATTAAAACTCTTGGATTAAAACTCTTGGATCAGGATTTTTTTTCCGTCCTTCAATCTCATTTTTCCATTTTACTTATTTATATTTCTGTAGTATTTCGTTACAAAACTCGCAAAAAGGATCTTGATCGAAATCTAAAAATAAACAAATAAGAAAAGAATTAGAACAAAAAATTAAGAACCACTTTAAACTTTGTTTTTGATGTCATTTCAACAATTAGAGAGATTCATTTCAACGTTTGGTAACTATTTTAATTTATATGCGTAATAAATAACGTATAAAAGTATTTAAATCTTGTACGATTAACAATATTTTATACACTAGAGTTCTTGAAAAAATAATCTTATAAACTTATTCGCACCTTTTAACTTCTAATTTGGGGACCATCTCATAAATCGAGACACTGATTTGGTAGTAACACCATTCACAGATCAGCATAGATGCACATAAATTAAACTATTTTTAAAAGTCCTTTAAATTATTTTCGAAAATTAATGCAAACAAATGAGAAGACCTAATATTTTCAAATAGCTGATCTCTCCCGAATTGCTTAAAATCCTATCACTGGAACAAAAGTTTTCTTGGTGTCCTGTTATTTATTTGGTACATTGCACATAGAAGCAATTGAGGAAAACAGTAATTTATTTGAAATTTTGAGGAAAACATTTTACTATCTTCGTACTTGGCATTATACGCTTTGGCTCAAGTGGCACTCAACCATTCCCCTGTTTCACTACATTTAAAACTTGAAAGAAAATATTTTGCTGCCTTCTGACTTTTTATTTTATATTTTATAACCGTCGCTGTACAGACAAACAATTTTGTGTTTACGATTACTAATGTTCAACTCTGTTGCCTTGTAATTTTGATCCCAATCTAGAAGACAAGAGAACTTCTGGATCAAGTATTGTGAGAAATTTTTCCTCCGTGGGGGACTTTTTGATGGAACTAACCCACATTTGAGTTACAAGGAGAGGAAGACTACGAGAACCTCCCATGGTTAACCTGATGGCAAGGAGACTCTAACCCATGATCCGTCTAAAACTGAGGATATTTCACGTCAGCACTGTGGTCGGTGCAAGTCGGATGCGGAACTCGTCCTCAGCCAGCCTTCCCGGGACCTATCCCGTGCTTGCATGCTTCATAAATATTTAAGTGTGGGAGGACTCGTAACACATTTGGTAGAATCGGAAAATGCTTTGTCACAAGAGGCAACCAATTTTACACCAGTTTCACTAAATTGAACGTAACCCTTTTTTTTTTCTTTTCTAAAATTCTTCGAATCTGTAAAGTGTATAAATTTTACTTTAGGGCAATATGTCTCACCTTTAATTTTTTTCCGTTTGCATTTTTATATTAAGTTAATTCTTATACAAAATAAAGTCTTAAGGTTTTTAAAAACAGAAATTTATTCTCCTGAAAATATGTTTTAATGTATCTTTTATTCAGTGTAGAATGAAATATTTTTAAGATCTTTTTGAATGAGGTGATAAGCCCATAGACATTAATTTTTAATCTGTAATATAAAAGTTAAGAAAGTGAAAAAAGAATTTTTTTTAAAACTTTATATTTTGAATCCACTTAAAATTCATCACAATATTTTTTTTTTTAATTGCTGGATATCCCAGAATATATTTATTAAAAAATAGCTTTTTTTAATTCAAAAACATTTTACTCTTAGATAACTTTTTTTTTTTTTCTTTCAAAAATAACTTTTTATAACTTTTTCTGAATTCCAACATGTAAAATGTGTCATAAAATTTATTTTGTTAATAATTAATTAGTACTTACATGGCTTAAAGTTAAACATTAAATTTGTTTATCACAAAAAATAGGAACTATTTTTTAAAAAAAGAATATATTAACCACGAGATCAACTTACTCATTTTCGACAACTTCTTTTGCTTCTTTTTGTCCTTTCTGATATGGAGATGAAAAATGACTCGAAATCCTGAAAAAAAATAATTCCGTCACTTATTTTCAGAAATTCTTGAAATAAAGAATTATTTTAATTAAACTTGATTATTCTAAAATATACCAACAAGAAAAAAGACTTCTGGTAATTTTTTTTGTGTAATGTGTTCAGTAGCCAAAAACCTTTTTTTTTTTAAATTTCTTATATCGTTGCAGAAATTTATTTTTCTCCTTAATGAAAACTTCCTGAAGAGTTTATTTTTTATATTCATTACATTGCATAAATAAATTATGTAAACTATATATTTTGCATATCCACATGCATGATTATCCGTTCGATTCTACTTTCTTCATTAGTTTCTGAATAAGAAGTACTTTTGTAATAAAAATTGACCAAAAAATTGCAAGTTTCTTTACATCTTGCAAGTTCCCTTATAAAAATATTCGAGAAATAAATTGTTTGTAGAAGGAAAGCTTTATCGATTTCGCACAGAAGGTTTATTTACTTTCCGGACGAGTAATGCAAATTTAGTACGAAAAGAAACTTAAGTATTAAAGTGTCTGGTCATTCTCATAAGACTAAGGAAGTTTAAAACAAGCCTCTTCATTGTTCAAAAATGTAATAAAACCGAAGTTCTTTAAAGTAGATGGAAAACTATTTTAAAATTAAAGTCAGTGTAACTAAATAAAATAAATAACAGATAAAATTGAGTTCGTTGCTGATTTTATAAAAAATAATTAACTAACCAACTATTTCAATAATAATATCTTACGTTTTCTTTTTCATCCATTCGCTCTCTTTTACGTTGATGTTTACTAGCCTGAAAAGAAAAAACAAATGTTGAGTGATAATTAGACAAGATTTTTTCCAAGAAAAAAAAACTTTAAATCTAAACATGCACTCTATAACAAAAAAATCGACGCACCAAGAAGGAGCTGTCCGATTGAAACGAAAATAGGTGGATAGGAAGACAATGTACAGAATAGTTAATAATTAAAATTTCAGAACAATTGAATAATTTATTGCAGAGTTTCAGTAACAAGTTCAATAAGGTGTTGACCCGCCTCTAGCCTGGATATAAGCTTCCACACGGCGTGGCATAGACCGATAAAGCTCCCGGATGGTCTCTTGCGGTATTTCCTGCCAAATTCGATCCAATTGTCGAACGAGGTCATCAACATTCCGTGCCAGATGCAATCGCCTTCCCATCATATCCCAGACATGCTCGATGGGAGAGAGATCTGGTGATCTGGCAGGCCAAGGAAGAGTTTGACAAGCTTGCAGACAGTTCATAGCAACACGTGCCGTATGTGGTCTGGCATTGTCCTGCTGAAAAACCAGCCCAGGGCGCTGCAAAAGGAACGGTAGCAAAACAGGTCTTAGGATGTCGTCGACGTACCGCTGTGCAGTAAGTGTACCTCTAATGACGACCAAAGGGGTCCGGCTGTCAAAGGAAATGGCACCCCAGACCATAATGCCTTGTTGAGGGCCGGTGTGGCGTGCAATAGTGAAGGCAGGATCCCCCCTCTGCCCTGTGCGTCTCCAAACACGTCTTCGATGATCGTCAGGACGCAGTTGGAAACGGGATTCGTCGCTAAAGACTATACGTCCCCAGTCGGCATCATTCCAGCCATATCTGTTCGAAACGTTCATGCATACGAAATTTCAAAGCAATCGGATGATTGCTTCTTGGTGCGTCGATTTTTTTGTCATTTGAAAAAAATTTTTTTAGGCATTATTGAAACGGTTTTTTTAAAAAACAAAAATTTAAGTATATATATTTATTTAAAAAAGTATTAAAATTCTTTATGTGTAAAATATTTCAGTATATTTTCATGAAAGAAGTTTAAAATAAATTACACTGGTAAACTAACTTTTTGTACCATTTAAACAAATACTTGATCTTGACTAATTTGGGTGCGGGGATTCTAAATTTGAAATTAGATTTGCTTTTATAATTTTTAATGACATTTTTGGCCTATTTTTGTCGACGCGTACAAATTTGAAAACTTTGCAATTAGCATGGGATCGCATAAATGTTCAGTCAACTTTCGGGATGCTATTAGAATTAAAACTGCATAGAAACTTATACCTGAATATGTCATCTTATGCTACTAGACTCGCATCCCCTATTTTTATCTGCTCAGAAGCATACGAGGAAACAGCACATATTAGGAAAACTGCCCCTAGCCGCACATGACGACATTTCCGGGTATGTGTTCTTATGCAATTTTAATCCTGGTGAAGGGGCCTAAATCTCCTAGAAATTTGTCGCAACATTTTTAATTAATTAATAGAATTCAAAGCTAACTAGAAATCTACACATTTTTCTACCTACCGAGTTTTCAGATTTTTCTGCATTTTTCATCTCCTTCATAAAAATTCCCTCATCCTCAACTACTTTCTAAAAAAAAAAAGAAAGTCAATTTTCCATGGGTAAGTATATTTATGCCAAACATCACTTATAAAAATATGTAAAATAAATAAGTAATAAGAAAATCAAAATAAATAAATAAATAAAAAATAAATGAGATAGTAAAGTAAGTTAATAAAACATAAATAAAATAGTAAAGTAAATAAATGAAAATTAAATAAAAATTTATAAATCTCCAAGATTAAAAAATTTTTAAAATTAAAAGTTTTTGCCCCTTTTTTTCTCCCTTTTTTTAAAACTTAACATGCTAAAAGATCACAAACGATGTAATTTTAATATTAAACGTAAGTTATCATTTAAAAAAAAGATTTTTTTCACTGAATCATAGTATACCCTAAATTGGATTTTGCGTAATACGAGGTTGAAAAGGGGAGCTTTGCTGTCACATGCTTTGATATTTGTCTCTTTTACATAAATATAGATGAATTTCTCTAAAAGTCCACATCATAATTTCATCTTTCAAAATGCGTGAGTAATCATGGACGTTTTGTTCTAAATTTTGGTCTTTAAGAAATCCCCCCCCCAAAAAAAAAAATTGAAAACTCCAGTAGTGTGCGAAATGAAATGTAAAAGTATTCTATAAAATTCAACTTGAAGTTAATCAGACTGGCTTTAGATTTGCTTCCTAAATTTTTTATCATCAGTCTTAAAACTCTTTTTTCTAAATTCTAGTCTCCAATGTGTCTTTAACGCTGTGACAGGTGTTCTTAAAGTATGTAATAAAGATAAAGGAACATCTTGCATGCAAAAGCAAAATGGATAAGTCTTTTCTATTATTATTATTTGAAATGCACGTCTTAATTGCTGAATTGTTCTTTCTAATCATAATCACATCTACTTAAAATTTGATCAGATAAAGAATAATCGCTAAAATCCTTGAATAGTAATAGTTCTGAAACCAGTAATAGTTCTGAAACCACGTTTAGTTCATTATTTAAAATTAAACATTCCGAGCAAGATATCTTAAGCACAAAGGAACTTTCAAAAATGCTTGAAAAGAGAGAAAATTGTTGCTCACCTCCTCATTGCTGGTTACCTCGATTTCCATACCAACATCCATAAAATCGAAGTACATTTCATCCGATGAAAAATCAACCTATCAAAGAAATAAATAAAATGGATTTTTGTTTTATAAATAGACAGCTTGTTAAACCTAAGTTTTATGCTTTAAAGGTGCATTTTTTAATACTTGTTAAGCATTATTGATTTTTTAATATTTAACACGCCATGAATATTTGCTAAGCTACAAAACTATCTAAAAAAGAGTCACATATTTCATGGGTAAATAGATTATGTATGCAGGAAATTGTCACTAATAAAAGAAAAAAAAGCTACAGAAGTTAAATCCAAAACCGATTCATTAGATTATTTATATATATGTATTCCCAAGAAATTGTAGCTTAATTTAAAAAAATGTTAATACAAAATACCTGAACAAAAATCCGAAAACCAGGAGGAGATAATCGATACTACCTATAACAGCACCAGTCACAATATATACTTTTATGTTCGAAATAATCGACAAAAATCATTACAATTGCATATGAACCTCCTGAACTTGGGGCTCATTTCAAGCATATAAATAAGAGAAAATTATGTTAACAATCTATTTCAAACTTACAGACTTGGTGGGCATCTCAGTATCCGTTAACTTCTTTAAAAGAGCTTCTTGTTCCGTTACTAGTTTCTAAATGAAGGGAAAAAAATGCTTTTAATTGAAAAGAACACATTCATCAGATGATATATAAAACTTTAAAGATATGAAAAAACTTTTTTAAACTTTTTTAATCAAAACTTTTTTTTATATGAAAATTTAAATATATCTCTCAATTCAAGAAATATTGTAATATTTAGAGTTAAATAAAAGATTCAAATAAGGTCAATTCAATATTATTCTTAAAATATATTAATATTGAATTATGTAGAGTGTAATAAAAGATTTAAATGGCTTTATAATTTGATTCTATAAAGAAGCTTTGAATATTAAAACTAGAAAATAACTATCCATTCGAAAAGAATTATAATATTAAAAAAATTGAAAATATATAACAGGAAATATTGAGAATGTATGAAAGAATTAAATCGCGTTAAAATATTAATTACGCTATTATTAGAATCTTTACATGCTAATTCCTGAGAAAGACAATAAGTATAACAATATTTTATTTTATTTTATTTTATAACCGCCGTTAAACAGCCGACCCAATTTTTAGGTTTACGAATGCTAATGCTCAACTCCGTAGCCTTGCAATTTTGAACTCAGTCCAGAAGACAATTAAACTTCCAGATCAAGATCCCTAGTCCAAGACCAGGCAGAAATTTGTCATCGTGGAAGACTTTTTGATGGAACTAACCCGCATTTGTGCTACAAGAAGAGGAAGACTACGAGAAGCTTCCACGGTTAGCCTGACGGCAAGGAGACTCTAACCCATGATCCGTCTACCAACGAGGATATTTCACGTCAGCACTGTGGTCGGTGCAAGTCGGACGCGGAATTTGTATTGACCAACCATGATACCTCATCTGAAGGTGAACCTGTGTTAGCTCATTTGAAGGTGAATGCTCTATCCCCTCAGATCATTGTGGCACAAGTATAACAATATTGCCAAAAAATAGGAAAAGTAAAAGAATATATTTTTATTCATTTTTAAATGAAAAGTAAAAAAATAACTAAACATTAATAAATAACAGCATTGTTCTAAAAATATATTGACAAAAGTCACCTTTCGATCATTTCGTATTCTGCACAGCTCTGAATATAGTGGGTCCTTCAAAACTTCCTATAATAAGATAAATATAAACATTTACAAATATATAGATTAATTAATAAAAAATAAATAAGATTAAAAAAAATTAAAATTTTTATTTTTATTTTTTAAGTAGACTGAAAAATAATTGTATTTGTGGCGGAAGAAATTTTAAAATAGTAAAAAGGTTTCTAACTTTCAAAAATTAAATTCATTGTCACTGGACAAGTAAGGATTTGAGAACTCTAGTTAGTCGTGAAATGTTCAAAACTTTAAGTACTTAATTTCACTCTCCCAAATAGGAATATAAACAATAATAACAAAACTTTCAAACAAGACAATATATTTTAAATATTGAAATTTCGTGAAATTTTTTTTTTGAAACAGTACTTACATAATACTTGTCCGATTTTCGGGTTTTCTTTTGAATTTCTGATACAATCTGTAAAATATTTGTTAATATTCGTATTATTAATTAATTATGAAATAATATAACCATGACTAGTCAGTCTATCAAAATATAAAATAAATAATACTTACGTAATTTTCTGTACTGTTATAAAGATCTTCTTCCATGCGTTTAATTTCCTAAATAAACACATATAAAATGAAAAATAAAGTAAATTACTCAATGTTATTGTTAATACATGATTATAAATATATATCATTTTAACGGATAAAATTTAAAATAAATGAATTTAGTTTGCATTCAAATGAAATTTATTTAAATAGTGCGATTAAAACTCAAACTGTTTCAGCAGAAAATACAATATAAAATAAAAATAATTTTTATAGCCTATTAATACTTGAAATATATTCCTAGCAGGCCTCTTAACTCTCGATCAAACTTAACTGCTTAAGAGAGAGGCGCAGAGGAAAAATTCTAAACACAAATTCAATAAAACAATTTGTGAAAAATTGTTAAACAACAAACACTTATATATTTTTAAATTTTTAATAAATATCCTTATTTTGTACAATTTAAATTAAAAGAATTTTTTAGCTGCAACAAAAACCTTTCAATCTGTTTAGACTGTGGAAAAAATTCAATTTCCAAAAATCTGAAATCAGACAAATGCATGGTTTTAAATTACACACTAAAACCACAAACTCCATATTTTTATTGTTTTAAAGTTTTGAGGAAAGTTCCATAAAAAGCTATTTCTTCTAATCCAATAAAGCGACCCTTTCATTTTATACCGTTATTGAAAGTTTGATGCTAAGCACGAAAAAATACCAAGAAATCAGAAATCAAAAATTTATCCTAAATTCCAAGATGGAGATGGTCTCTTAACCCTAACAACTGATTTATTTCATTATTTTTAATAAAAGTTTAATATTGAAGAAGGAGTTTAAGGTTCACACGGACATGACTAATGCAACATGGTTAATGCAACATGTGAAATATTCGGGAATCAGTCAAAAACTATATAATATATATTTCAAAACACCAGAATTTTCATCCAACTTATGGTTAATGTTTTCAAAATAATTCTAGTAATATAGTAAACAATAAGTTTGTCGCTCTCTTGATTTGCTTGACTTCCGGTTAAAAAGTTAGCAACTGCTTACTACAGCTTATTCTGGGAGACGATAATTTCAAACAGATAGTTTTGTTTTCAATAAAAAGAAATGAACTTTATGATTTCTGAACTCAATTCTGTTCTTTTTTTTTCGTAAGTTATTAAAAATACTAAGCAATTCCAGTAAGTTTGAAAATAAAATTTTTACTAGTTATTTTTAAAAAAGATGTCATGGTTTCTAGATTTGGAATAAACTCGAATTTTTTTTTTTTTTTTTTTTTTTTTTTTTTTTTNTTTTTTTTTTTTTTTTTTTTTTTTTGTGCAGTCCTGATTAGGTCTCTTTTTAATTGTTTATTACTCTCTGTTCGCGTTGCGAGACGCGCACTATCTTACATTAGTGTTAGCATATTGTTCAAAATGCGAGTCTAAGTTCATTTTGCAAATTGTCATTCAGGTTTAAATTTCAATGTTGGTACAGTGGTGACAAGTCAATGTTAGTAATGTAGTCAATGTAGTGGTGGCAAGTCAATGTTAGTAATGTAGTGGAGACAAGTAATGTAGTCAAATGTTAAGCTACACAGCAAGAGCCAATTCCAGTTCAAGACTTAGTACTCACTGTAAACACAAATAATAAGTTACGCAACAACTATTCTAGAAATACTACTCAAGAAAGGTTTAAAAGCACAATGAGTATGATGTGAGTCAAATGCCTTCAAAATACAGCTGTAACAGTAACCCGAAAGTATGGGTAGTAAACAGCGTCCAGCTCTCCCTAGTGTAAAAAGCGCCATCCATCCCCACCTCCCTTACAGTATTAATCAATAATTAACAACAACCATATTGAAAAGCATATTTATATTTCAATTAATTGATACTTACATAAGCTTCCTGAATCCTCGAAACGTTCCCAGAGGAATCATTAGGCACTTCGGATTTCTGCTTGTAGAAAAAAAAAAGCAATTAATTAGAGATCTCTATAGGGTTTGTTTATGAAAAAAAAAAAGGATTTCCTCAAAGTATTCAATAAAAAATGTAGTTTATAAATTTTTAGGATAAGTTAGGGAGGAGATTAAATTGTGAAAGTAAATGTAAGAAAGTTAATTTGTATAAAAAGTGCGAAAAATTTAATTAATTAAATACTATCATATTTACGTAATCTAAGAAATGTTAAAAGATACAAAAGTGCTAAAGATATACGCTGTAAGAATTTTCATTCTAAAAATACGGTAAAATAACCGGTAGCAGTCTGTTCATCCGAATACCCATATTGATTATGGGTAGGAACATTTTTACCTTAGCTACTTTGAAACCGTTTGCAACTGGTACAGTTAAAAAAACATGAGTACAGAACTATATGGTTTTGTGACCATTTACTACTGGCATAGTTTCTGAACCAAAAAATGAAAATTAAGCGGACACTGTGGGTGCTGCGCTATTAGAATAAAATGAGGAAAGAGTAGGAATAATAAAAATAAATATAATAGTGCTTTATAGAATAATAAAAATAATAATTAATAGAATCAGATTAATAATAATTGGTAATAATAATAATAATTAGTAATAATAATAATTAGTAATAATAATAGTTTATAATAATGAATAAGTAAGCATTTTAAAATGCTATGATCTAAAATTTCACGAGTAAAATGCTTACACAATCGATTTCAGGAGATGAATCATTCAATGTAGATGTTGAACTCGACTGATGAAATAAATAGAAGAAAAAAAATATCTCTCGTTAAAAACATTATCAAAAAATGAACTGGAATGTTATTCATGTAAAATAGTATAATTTGACTTCGAAAATATATTTTTCAAGAAAAAATATAAATTAAATTATTTTTCACTTATTTTAAATCGTATTTAATTCCATGAAAGAATAATACTCGCAAATTTGTTTGCTGGAGATGTATCTTCCAAATAATACGTATCTTCCAAATAAAGACACTCATTTTTATTCATATTGATTCACTCATTTACACTCATATAAATTCACTTTAAAACAATTCAAAATTAGAAAAATTTAAAAATAATAAAAAGAAAAAATTTAAAAAAATGAAATAGCATTTTTAAGATTTTTCTCTAGAAAATGGTTAGAATTAATACATAATTTTTGTAAACTTTATATTCCCCAAGAAATATATTGAAAATTACAAAAGATCTTCATCTTCTCTTTATTTCTGGACATTGAATAAGGTTTTAACAAATTAAAACCAGTTTGATTGCCTGATGAAATTTGTTGATAATTTCTGAGATTCGTGTTTCCCATTCCAATCAATATTCATTGACAATCAAACATGACTTGATGTTCCAAATATCGCATTCTACTATATCGATTCGTTAGATTCTTAAAACATGAAATGAATTTCGACTCCCTTGTTATCATTGACTCCAAATATATAATATAAAGACAATAAGAAAACCCATCTCGGATATAAAAACAATAAAAAGAAAGAAGTTCGATTAATTTAATTTAAACAAATTTTCATTATTTATGTTAAATCACATGTTCTTGAAGGATATCCCTTGCAAGGAGGAACTTTTTAATGTTTAGAAGGGGGAAAAAAAGATAAGTTGAAAGCAACTTACCTGTTGAGAACTGGAAA